TTGTCATTAAAGCATCTAGGGTCAAGGTATGCTTGAGTTCCTTGGTGATTTGAGGAAGTCTTTCGTAGTAATACTTTTTCAGATATCCCAAAATCCGTGATTTTAGCCGTTTTTCCATGAATTAATACATTGTTCGAAGACTTGTGATAACATAAGAAAACATATTAATATATCACAATTACAATCTACATTAAATCAAAATCAAGATCGTATTAATGATTTATACGCTTACCAAATCTTTATGCAAGATTCCTACTTTGTGAATATATCCCAATCCGTTAACGATATCCAAACCCAGTTGACAGTTGGCAGGCCAATCTAGCTCGATAGCTGGCGTCGATAAGTATTTCCGTAATGACCCATTGTCGGCATAATCAAAGACCATCAAGTAGCTTCCTCCGATATCTATTGAAAAGTTGAAAAGTATTATTTTATGCATGCCTATTTTCCTAACACATTGAATCTTTTCACCGTTATTTACCTTTGCTAATGCCAAGGAATCGAATAATGTTGGGATGGTCATCTACTCTACGATGAATCTTGAGCTAGAAATCATAAAACGAAAACATATAAGAACCACAGTTTCATAGACCAAGCAGCAGTTCCGTCATGCATGATTACAAACCTCGTTTACAAAATCTTTGAAGAACTCGCCTTCGCCCGAATTTACGATCAACTTGTAAGCAACAGTGATGCCTGATTCTTTTGCTGTTGCTTTGAAAACTACACCAAATCCACCACTGCCTATGCATTGGCTGTTGACAAACTCATCATAAGGATAAAATCGAATGTAGCCATGTTCAACACTATTATCTAACCATTCCTTGTCAGGGTTGTTAGAGACAATTGATGTCATCGTTGTTATTACTGTTGACTTGGAGTTCTGTTCATTCTTTCACGTTATACGTCTTGAGTGATATTGACTGTGTCACATACATTAGTAACAATGCACAGCCCAGTATTATGCAGGGGCAATAAACAAACGTAAGGGAGAAAAAAAGCAGTGCATGTGTGTTAAAAAAATTTTTTGTACCTTGTTGGCGCAAACGATGCGATGTCGAGCGTGTGCATCTTTATTGGTAAAAGTTATAACATAATAATTAGTCATAAATTACATAGGTGTATCGTATAACTAACTTTAAATGCATCTTCTAATATGCTAATTAGCAGTCATTTACAACGAATTGTCGTGTCCTTTTTTCCAGCACGCACGTCAATGACAAGATGATCTGTAAATGTCATAGCAAAGACGATTTCTTTGTTTTGTAATTTCAGCACAAAGAACTTTAACGTAAGTTATTTGTAACAAAGCTAATAGTCTAACAAGTACAATAATATATTACAATGTCCAGCTATCTTTAGTTTTTTTTTTGCAATTCACTCGCCGTCTGTGAGAAATGGATTAACAATATTAAAAGTAAGTTTAACCGATATAAATCAATATAAATAAATTATTGATGTTGCAACAGGGATTATTATTCCATATTAGGTGTCTTAATAAGGATTGCAAAGTTTTCCGTTGGTCAGAATATAGTGTGTTACCATTTTTCGTAATGTAATGATAATTCATAGTATTAAATTTACAGTATAGTACACCTCAATAAATATTTCTTCTCAAATGACTAAAGTTATTATTTATTGTATGCTTCTTTCTTATGGCGATAACGGAGTCTGAAATATTGTTATCGGGAATTTGCACAACGTCTTGTCCAGTAGCGAATAGTAGCAACGTTAGTTATGTATTGTAAATGCGAAACGATTTATAGGGCGGAAGATTTATTCTATTTGCTAAATAACTTTTGTAATAATGCCTATAGAACTACCGTTGATATATTCCTTAACTTGGTGAGATACATTACTCGCACACCAGATGGAAGTAGCGCGAGCAACAAAACAAGAGCGAGCGCATGAAAATCGAGCATATAAATGAACTCAGTTTGGTTTTTTTATAGTAATGACATTTCCGCAGAGGAACTATTGCCATTAGTAGATGACGAATTTCATTGGTTTAAAGATCGACGGACGGTGAATATGTCGAAACATTTAACTTTTGACGACCAGATTTCTTCTATTTTGTGTATGTTTCGTGCAACCATTACGTTCGAGCTTAGCTGATCGATTGTAATTAAAATTTTTTTAACTGGTTAGTATGTAGTTAACATGCTGGCATAGCCCACTTGGTGGGTTGTACACAGTATAAGATTTCTGCAAAGATCAACACAAAAATTACGATAAACGGTTAATGCAAGCATCAGGAGAGAATCAGTAGTATGCACAGGTGATATCATTACACGACATGACATGCAACAAAGAACAGTCGAAACTCAGCCTTAATCGACAGAGTCAATTGTAGGGTATTATTAAATTAAAATTTGAAATACTAAAAATAATAAATGTCAGCATTATTAGTTTGTTTTAACTCAAACACTTTGGTGATAAAGTAAAAGCGACATAATGATAAGATAATGTGTGACATTCCGTCCGTCTGTATTTGCCAAAATATCACTCATCGTTACAAATGAAGTGAGATTACATGATGCTTTTTCAATTAATCATTTTGGATGCAATAATACGTTAGTGGCTTTACATATCAGATAGTGTTATGTAATGGAGAAAGATAAAACTTTAATTGATTACTTTTTTTATACATCAATAATAAATATGTTTACAGTATATTTTAACTATTATTTATTGTAGTTATTTATTATAGCCATAGGCATTGAAAGAAAGAAAAGTTTCTAACGCAAAAAGTAACGTAAGCAGAAAAATAAATAAAGTCAAATTAATTAATAATTGTCTACTTAGTCAAAAATCTTATACTGTAAATATGGAGGCGAAAGAAAAAAGCAACTGTTGTAATTTGAAAACGTAGTAGAGCGTTTATACGTATATTGTTAAAAGAGATGCAGTATGCTGTATATGCATGTATAAAACATAGTCATCATATTCCTCATTCAGAGTAGTAGAAACGATACGAATTAATAGTGATAAAGATGTCTCTTGGCTTCTGATAAGGGATACTATTGTTTGACGCTGGTACAGTCTGTAGACTGAGTGCTTTCCAAACAATCGTGTGTAAAGTTTGTTTTCTGCAACAGCGTGCCGTCTTGGTTGCGTTCCCAGAATGCCTTCTCCATTCGACAATCTATTTGCTTCTTCAACAGTACTGCTTAATTACTACCTTTTAGTCTTTTATTGCGATATTCTGCGAGTTGTTTATATCTTTAACTTCAAATTATCGAGCAAAGATTCTTTATCGGCTTGCTTGCTGGGAAGAACTCCAAGAGCTACGATATACATTTTATTCTCCTTTCGCAAGGATAAATGAGCAACTAGTATATAATTATATCTTTGGAGATTATTCGAAGATCTGCATGTATAAAAAAATTGCATTATGACGTGGTTAAGCGTCATGCTTTGAGATCAACCTTTTGTTTCAAAAGAAAAAAATTCTACTTCATGTACTTGATTGTGTATACAGTCAAACAATCTTAACCATATACTAATACGTGTTGGAAAATCGCGACGTATACATTTTCAAACTTTATTCTTGAACCATTGACCATGCTTGCAGCAGACACAGTACCATACATTACTAAAATGAGTATTTCTGTTTCTTCTTTATCAAAATTCTTCTAACGTTTTCAACAACGGTATAATAACTAGTAATTAAAGCGTAAACCGTACTTTTGCTGCTCATATTATTAAAAATGTTAAATCTATCTTTTTCTGAACAGCTTACGACGATTACAATCAACTTTATGTAAAATACAAACGATATTCAATCTGATCAGAGCGAGCGAACCAATTTTAAATACTCAAAGCAACATAAAAATATACAATTCGGCATAATAACATCTATTTAACATACTTCATACAACAAATAGATCATTTGTTACTGTTATTGCCAATTTTCACGACACTTGGTATTTTCGATTGTAGCATTTGCTAAATATATTTGATTGGCGGCGTTCTAGTAAATAAGAGAAGGATTTGCATTTCTTCCCACCCACACTTAATTCTTGCCGTTATTGCTCCGAAGGGTAGTTCATCACGTGGTATTAGTCACACTACTCAAAAAAGCTTGTTGACGAATTATGCAACAACAAACATGTGCCAAGTCAGTCTGATAATGAAAATGAAAACATCCGGTTTTATTTTTTTAATGACATGTAGAGGTTATGGATTTGTTTTCAGTGCCAAAATAAAGACGCTGGGATAGAACCGTAGCATACGAACTTTTGCATTCACACAATGAATATAAAACTATCGAAACCCCGCCAAGGAGGTTCGTAATTCTAATGACAACTTGTATTCGGATATTATTGTTTCACTTAAACTACTCAAACGATACTTTTAGTCTAAATTTATCGTTGCTCTTACTAGTATATTTGACCTGTTTTTTTTACACTAAATGGACAGTCGTCTTCTTTTTCATGGGTGTACAACTCACTTGCTTTCAGATTTACATTTTTTTATGTTATCCTCTTGCGCTGCTTGTTCTCGATGCAATTGTACCAGTAACCATAGCCAGTAGTTGCGTAAATGCAATAGCAAAGACAAAGAATAAAGATGGATAACGATATTTACTATTATTGCCATAGATATAATTTTTACTACACTAAAACTTCCACCCGCCCTGCTATTTTGCTTCAAAAAAATCGAGAGTCTATGTCAAGCATATAATTAAAACGTGGTAATACACGTAAAATAGAATACATATTTAATAGTGGAAGAAGTTTTTGTTTTAAAGTTATAGAATTAGGAAAAATGGATCTAGACTCGATGGCAAGTTTTTTGAAACATATTATTCGCTATTCTGTATATTATCGATAGTATTGTAAATCAAGAATTGTTATTGCTTCTGAGAAGCAAGACTATTATTATGATGGAAGAAAAATAACTTTATTATTATTAATGTATATCAATATACACTAATACAAGATTAATTTAATTGTTAGTAACCTTTTAGTCGCTACCACTACCCACATGATAATTATTTAACTTATACATGTCAATGTTATTAGAGCTAACTGTCGAAGATGACGTAATAATGGTTCGTCATGGATATTCGTGGTTGTTTCTTCGATTGGCGTTTCAATAGATTTTGACTTTTTGTTGAGAGCAAATCTACGAGTTGGTGAGCTGAGATCAACTTTGTTTTCTCCATCTTCTATCCATATTGGAGCATCTCTCCTTAATCTCTCCATCCTGGTTCCTGATTGAGAGATGAATTCGAAATGGTAAAGCTCACAATATACCGTATTTCACCGACATGTATACTCCCCGTGGCTAACCCCTCAGCAATTTCGAACGCCGAATTTTGATTTATACCCGGGTATAAGTTATGGTATTCCTCGGCATATATACCCCCCTGTGACTTGTACCCTCTTTTAATTTGCCAATAAGAAACAGCAATTAAATTTAACATCATAAAATGCACAAACTTTATTTACTAATGATAAGCGTAGCTTCCATGATTGGTCCCAAATAGGTAATTTGAATTACTCACTACAGTTTTTATCAATACGTTAATTCTCGAAAATTTTGGAATTTATCTGCAGTCAATAGAATTTTAGAAACGAAATCGAGATATGTACCCACTATCTGTACGATGTATCCCGGGTATGCAAATGATCAAGGGAATACCCCGGGTACACATGCCGGTGAAATACGGTAGTTGGTTTTCGCTTACTTCTAATTTACCTGTTAACCATTAACATGGATCCTTTTCTTGCAGATGAGCTTCTCCCTGTCAGTCTCCGTATATTTTTGTTATGCGAACATGAAATGCTCTGTCAAACCATTTAGTTCGGCCTCTATTTTTCCTACGAATTGTTTGGTCGTGACGTTGAACGTCCAGTAATCTTGCAATTTGAGTTGTTCGTTTAGGAAACTCATGTACATTGCGTAGGTGGTATTGCGTGGAAGGGATTTATCATCGTAGCATGTTGGTTGACATCTATATGTCGACACCTGAGTATCCTCATTGTATTAGCAAATGAATTTATACGAATGACGCAAATACTTTTTACTTGCCTCACATACGTCATCCTTCGTGATGGTATTCTGGAACGCATACTGGGTATAACATAGTTGACTAAAATAAGTAAGTATGCGTTCGCAAGACAGACATTGACACAACACGATTCGTAAAAGACGTAAAATTTTATTGTATAATTATAGTAATATAGTTGACTAAAAGCAAGTAAACTTGGCAAATGGGTTGCTGAGCACGTTCTCGAAGTCTTGAATATTACCAATAATCGCTATCCATATTAAGTTCAAAAAGCGACAAGCAAATCACATTATATATGATTAACAAGCTAGCGGTCAAGTGAAGTGTCATATGGCTTTAATTCTATCCGTTTATTTTCAGAAAAGTACAATTCTTCTATTGGTGTGCGGATGCGAATACATGGCTCGGCACATCATTGTGGAAATATGCTTTGGATGACTGAATACGTTAGGATAAATTTTCTATAATATGGTATTACGGAGGACATTGTATTTTTTTTTTAAACTTGAACAAAATTGGTTTAATATTAAGCATAAGTGCTTTTATCAACTGTTAATTCCATTTTAAAACCAATGGTGCGACAGGAAATTGTCAGTCCCAACCTGATTAGTTCTAAATACGGATGGATCGTGATCTGCCAGATATCAAGAATTTGTTTAGCGGTAAATACCGTCTTGTATAACGTCACGTAGGTAAGTATATACTGTGCGAAATGAATATATTACTGTATTACAGTATTAACAGCAAAACCATTCCATTGATCCGAACACCTCATTCTTGGGGGTCATACCCCCACCCCAAAAAATGTTGAGTTTTGTGGGTCTACCCATTATTAAAGAGCGAAAATTTTCGTTTTGGCGATCATATTTATCCAAAGTTCATGTGATACAAATTTATTATTTTGTTAAGGCCTTGATAAATGGGCCAGATTTAAGATAAATTTTACCAGAAAAGGCTGTTTCAAATTTCTGCTCACTGTACTAAATTGGCTAAACTTTGAACAGTTATATCTCAAGCCACATGTAGCATTTGTCAATGTTCTAAACATAATTTGTTGGCATTATCAAGAAGAACAAAATGGCGTTCTTAAATTTTGAATTATTAATACAGTAATGCTTGTATTATTGTTTGAAATGCATCGATTTTTGTTTGATGTACAGAAAATATTTTCAGCGTAAACATTTAGGCACTGGGGTTTTTGGACAAACACGATTGTTCATGGGCGGGTAGGATCGGTAAGTTTGCATGTGGCTTTGGCATTAGTAATAGATTTACGGCGGTAAATGGTTTTTGATTTGACGGATTGATTCTTATCTGTATCACGACGCAAGTCATACTGTCTCAACAATATGATCGCAGTTACAGTCACCAGGTGATTGTAAGGTAGTGTGTCTACTATATTTACTGTATAGTTTCAAAAATAAGACATCCCTTAACAATAAGGGGTGTGTCAGTCACATGGTCACATGCATATAGAAACTTTTAGAAGAATTGTTTATTTTCGGAGGCGAATTTAAAGTACCAGCGACTCGATCTTGTGATACCAGTGACTATTATTACGGGTATTGTTAGGTCAAAATGGCTAACTCATTATTTATTCCCAATCATTGTTGAATTGATTCTTGTAATGATCGTATTGTTCACTCAATAGCTAACTCAGAAATACCGGAAATACGTTATAGACATCAATGATGTCAGGTACCTATTACACCATCAATCATCAACTGTCATCGTATTTAAACGAATAACTTTCTCTCTTTCATTTCTCATCACTTTTTCATAAACCACTTCAAAATGTCCTTCAGAAACGCTAGCCGTCGCTTTCTTTCCACGGCCATAAACGGCAACAACGGAAGTAACAGAAACAGTGAGTAATGTACTGTATCTTTTTTTAGTATTGTAGAAAACCAAAACAAGCGATATTACATTTCAGATATCATGGTCCACTGGAACTGGAAGAAGTATGCAGGCATTGCAGTAGTTATGGGGGGGTCGGTCTGGACGGGTGCTAGATACACCGTCGAGATGGTAGATGCTCGAATCAACGTATTGAAGACTCAAATCGAAAAGGTGGAGAAGGTGGTAGAAGCTAAAATCGAAAAGGTGGAGACTCAAATCGAGAAGGTGGAGAAGGTGGTAGAGGCTCGAATCAAGGCGGTAGAGGATCGAATCAACGGGGTAGAGAATAGGCTTGAGGGGAGAATGGAGAGAATTGAAATGAGGGTAGATGAGATGAGTACGAAGATTGATGAGATGAGGGGGGTTTTACAAACAATAGCAGCGCAACGCGCAAGGTAATAATTCAGGTTTATTTCCTTCTTAGTTGATGTGAGATAAAAAAAAACTAATCCAAGATTTACCGTGGGAAAAAAAGTGGGAAAAAAAGAAGAGATATGCCACGAGAACAGTAAAAGTTCTCCGATTTCTCCAAAAAAACCCCCAATAAGAATATGCCAAACGTTATGAAGTCTATGAAGAGATTTTAGAGAAGGACAAGTCGTTTAAGGCAACCCTAAAAATCACAGTATTCCGACGACGTTGAAATTGTCAGAGAGGAGAAAACAGCCATTGCGGATATTATTGGCGAAGCTGTAATTTGTATCGTCAAAATCAAAAGCGATTGAGCAAAGGATCTTGTTGGATATTTCACGACGACGATGTCTGTATTTTTGACGCCACTTCTAAAGAAGTTGCTAGAGCGAATGTATTTGCAAGAACAACAAATTCCATCTGGGTAGAAGTCTACTTTGTCTCAGTTTGTGACGAAATATCTTAATTAGCTAGAAAATATCTAAATATACTTTGCAAAAATATTTTAAGCCTGTCACAATCCGCTTTACCATCACTATCCGAATTGGTTCGCAAGGTATAAAGGCGAGGTTTAATGTTGTTATGTGTTATTATATTATTTGCATCTATAGCTTCATAAGAATAACTTAAGTTTTATTATTACAAATACTTTCTATGGACAATAACTATAAATTATTAAGCCAATAAAGCTACTAAGACTTCATAATATTGACTAAATGATTATTACTTTTATTGGTTTCACTATAACTTATTAACGCTGTCATACGCATACCAATGAGATTCAGCAAAGTAGGCGTCACGTGCGCATAACAATCAAAATGTTGGGAATTAAATGTATCATTTAATTTATCATAAACGAATTTCCGCATCTGTACATTAAATAACTGTATTTTAATACAGCAAATCTGTATAAAATACAGACTTTTGACGACTCAGGCGCACCATATTTGCGTAACTTCATTCGGCAAAGGGAGTAACTTGATTAGGCATTTGTACAATCTTCAAGGAGATATTGTTAAAAACAT